TTATATCTCAACTGTTGCTAATCTTTTCTCCAAACACACTAAATAGATATTGTCTATTTTTATTTTTCCATTAGAGTAATTTAAGTAATGCACTACATGATGCCATTACTGGATGCCTATTGTGTGGCAGACATCATGCTAACTATAAATATATTGCCTTTCATCTTCACAATGACTTTGCAGTTGTAACTTTCCTTGTTGGAAAAAAAGGGTAGGAGAGAAATTCTCACTCTTCTGTTTTTCTTTTCTTTTTCATTTTTCTCTGCCAGTACACCTCTAAGATTAAGAAGAAAACAAACCAGGTGCTATAGTTGTCTATAGTCCCAGATACTCAGAAGGTTGAAGCAGGAGGATCCCTTCAAACTGGGAGTTTGAGGCTAGCCTGGGCAACATAGCCAGACCATCACTTTGAAAAAGAATCCTAGCCTTGGCAACTGTGTCCTCAGGCCATGTAAAGCTTCTAATTGGATGACTTTTCTCCCCATGAAAACAAAGGATGTTTTTATGTTTTCAATTCTTTTTTCTTTTCCCCCTTTTTCGGTCTTTTTGAGACAGCTCACCCTGTAGCCCCAGCAGGCCTGGAACTCACAATGTAGACCAGGCTGGCCTAGATCTCACAGAGATCCACCTGCTTCTGCCTCCCCAGTGCTAAGATTAAAGGCACCACTCCCCGGCTTCAATCACAGGTCTATCCCTAGAAAATTTAGTCCGGATTCACACATGTGCTTTCTGTCAATTTTTACAAATCACATATTTAGATAGGAAAAATAAAAGGTATTTTGTTTTTTCATGTTGAAGTGCTGAAGATGAGCCCATGGCCTTGGCATGCTACTTCTGACCTATACCCAAACCTACTCCTGCATGTCTAATTAAGATATAATGTTCAAAGTTATTCTGACATACGATATTTCTCTCTGACCTATGTCCAGGTAGGTAGATATGCCTCAGGATTACCTGCCACTCGAAACAAGGTGCTTCTCTGTTCTCCCTCTGTGCCACAGAAAATGGAAGCCCTTGCCTATAGGACTAGATACATATTTCTCCCATTTAAAATTTCTTTTCTTCACATACTTGTAGAATTGCTAGTGAAGTTATGAAAGTTCTTAATAAAGTCAGGACCACATGAGACTTGATACAGTTACAGAATAATGCAATTCTGCAGTACAGCTCATTTATCCACTACTTTGATTATTTTCTGCATTCATTCACTCATTCATTCATTCTTCAAATGTTTATTGTCAACTGTGCATAGAGCTGTAGATGCTAGAATACAGTAATGAACAATTTAAAGAAACTCCTGCCCTCATGGAGCTTACATTCTAGTTTGTCAAAAAGTATCTCTAGCTAAAATTTAAGTGTTCAAATGCAAAGGGAAATCTTTGTGAAAGGCTCTTATTAGACCTCCCAAGGGGCAATAACTATTTCATTCAGCAGTTCTATTGTATTCATTTTTATCAAAAGCAAAAACAAGACCTTTAGTTTATTAATTTTCTTACAGTATAATTTATTCTTTGCCATTGCTAATTTTCTTCAATTTACACTTTTTAAATTTCTGAAACCTCCAATACTTCCTGGAAGAGATTAAAAGAGAGGTAATAGTTTTTCAGTTTCTAATCTGATAATCAGCAGGTATCAAATATATGGTCTTCGTGTCTTTGTTATAAAAGAACTGGCTTCAATATTGTAGGATTTGAGGGGCAAGGTGGAAAAAAACATACAGTTGTTCGCTACTGCTGGGTTTTCATGCCTTCATCATTTGCTGACAATGCCTGTATTCAAAAGCATGTTGATGTACTTCCCTCCTTTGTCCTGACCCACAAACTAAACTTCTGCTTCCTAATCAGCATTAATATGTGGCATCATTAGAATTGGACTTCTCCTAATAGAGACTAGATCTAATGTTTACTTGGCATTACTTTCAATGGATTCTTCCATTGAGCTGATTTCCTGAATTCTCTGAATGCCCCTGAACTCTCTCTAACGATAATCCACTCAAGAATCAGAATCAATTACTACAGTTAGGTTGAATTCTTCTACGTTTAACACAGCCAGGTGATACATCTAAGGTTGGAGGGTGCCATCTGGTCTCGGCTTCTCTCTCTTCCTGACACAGCCACCTGTAATGCTTTTCACTCCCCCACAGCTCAGCGGCACCACTGTCCTTCATGTTTCTGACAGGATATCACAAGGAGTTAAGAAATTTCTAAGTATGCCACAGAGGGACAAATGATGCAAAATTAGGAATGAGAACACCAACTCTGCTCTGCACAGTATTTGAAAGGAAGAGCCAGTCGTTTTAAAGGGCATTTCTGCATTTTCGATTCTACACTTACTCCACAATTGGAAGGGGGTACCCAGGTTGGTCTCAAAACTCACTCTGCAGCTGAGACTGACCTTGAATTCCTGATTCTCCTGCCTCCAATCTCCCAAATTTTGCTGTTGTTTGTTTTTTAATGGGAACACACAAACACTGTTCTAAAGCAAGGATGACAAATTACTAACCTAGAGGTCATGCTGAGTCTTGGGTTGAATTTTCCTGCCCTAAAGAGCAGGTATGGAGAAATGATAACACAGCAGGCCTTTAGCAATCCTTAAAGCACCGGGACACAGAGACACAGCTCCACGAAGACAGAGGCTGCCCTCCTCCTCCACGGCTGCACACGCTTCTCATCGCCTCTGCTTCTGCTTCTTTTCTTTTGTTCCCCCTCGTCTCCCTAACTGGCCAGAATAGGGCACTGTGATGCATAGTATTTAACGCACTATGTTCCTGTTTCCAATTCAAAAACCAAACCAACTGAGCATTTCACCATTTCTGCTGAAACAAGCAAAAACCCTTTTGTTTTGAGAGGCAGGGAGGTCGCCAATGGTCCTTGACATTTCTTTCCAAGATTATCCACATATTAACTCGGTTAATTGAAATTCCATATTTGCAAGCATAAATGCTACATTAAAAATAATAATAAACATTATACTTTAAGAATCCACACAAAAAGTGAATACAATCAAATCACACATGGCATAAGTATAGGAAGGAAATAAATGTTTCATGGAGAAAGTAGAGTAAAATCTAGCCAAATAATTACTGTAACAAAAAGAAAAAGAGATGAACGCATTCCAAGGAAGAGTTATCAGTTTTCATACACTGAAAAACAAGGATTTTCCATTTCTAAGACCAGCCATTAAGAAGGCTTTCTCACAAAATTATTTTATAATTTTCACTTTACAATTTCTTTCTCCAGTGAGTTCTACCCAGAATTAAATATCTTCCTAAAAATACGCAATTCCATCATATGAGAATATCGCAGTACCTTTACCACACACAAAAAAACTATAGTTAATAATTATAACTTGGTCTTTATTTGTCATCTTTCTACAGAAATGATCAATAGCCTTACCAGGAAACTGTACATGTTGTGATACAATTTTAGTAGACTACTGATTAGACCGTTATGTTGCAAGTATTTCTAGAACATGGTATCACATATTCAGTCATTAATTCCAAAACAATCATTTATTGACAAAAAAACGTACAAAGAAGTACAAATGAACATCCTATCCCATTACGGGACATCTATCTGCTCCCTTTTAGTCTAGGACATGGTCTCTTGGAGTTCTAAGAATAGGTCAAACACTTTTCCTGTGTCCAATGGGCCCTAAGAATCACCCAATAATAAACTAGTATGTATTTAAGTAATATAGTCCATGTCACTATTAATTTTATCTACATGAGTTACCAAAAAAGCTTCTCTTGTGATATATCGCATACCTCAAGTGAACAAACTATCAATGCCAAGATCCATAAATCATGTAAGAAACAGGGAATATTGTATCACTAACATGTTTTCCTTGAAGTAACAGTTTACAAATGAAAGCTTAGGTGTCAAAAACGACTTTTATAGGTAATCTGGTAAAAACACTTCTAGAAGTGAACAACCTCATGAGATGAACTAAGCTGCATGGGAGACACTCAGCTTGCGGCTGCTCACACGTGCGATCTCACTGCTACAGCTACTCCTTTCTTCAAGGATGGTTATTTTTCAATTAATTCCACTTAACAGACTTAGGGCTGTTCTATTAATTCTCTAACAAGCCTGAACCGTGGTAAATGCCAATACTTCACAATTTCCCTCACAGTGCTTCTTAAAATACCAATACAAATGGAGGGATCAGTAAATTGATCATGTCCAGTAAATAATACCCCAACTGCTCCTCTACTGTGGCTACTCATGACAGAACATGTGGCTTGCTGGTTGATGTCTGTAATTGCCTTGTGTAGAATTTATCAGATTATATATGTTTCTGAGTGGTAAGTTTTAGCCTTTTGGTTTGTGGAGGGAGCCAGGTTAGAACTTAACATTATACTATACTTCTTACTCAGAACTATTTTCATAAAGAACATGAGTTCAGTGTTAGACTAACATAGGGGTGTTGTATCAGTGACACATTTTAGAAGAGCTAGAAAATTCAGATGACCACTCACTAAACATAAAACCATCATTCCACAAATATTTTATTCACATTAAACTTGCACAGCAGCAAATAAAATAAAATAAAAAGTTAAAAATCAAAACATAAAACTAAGCCACATTATTAAAGAACAATATACAATAGAGATTTGAACTTCTCAATGGCATTAGAAGGTATAACCATAAATAACATTTACAATTCTAGTGTTAGATCTTTCAAGGTGTCTAAAGCTTCACAGTGCTAGAATTGATTTTTATCAGAACACATGCAGAAGTGTGCAACATAAGAATCCATATTAATGACACAAAAGAGCAGGCCAGTTATCATTCCAGCATGGCCATGCCACTCTATGTTCTAAAAACAAATAGCCCCCCAAATCCAGGTCCCATTCATTCTTCAATTATGCCTTTTGTCACTCTGCTTTATCATATTCAAACAGTCACTGTTAGTGCTCTTCACCACGACTTTCAGGTTGGCGTCACTCCCTGCCTGCTGGCTGTCAGGACTGGGGGACGCCCCTCTCCCAGACTCACCTTCTTCCGGATGTCTTCATCATTTGCTCCTAGAGAAGCATAGAGCTTGAAAGCAGCCTGGCGGAGTTCATGAGCATGTTTTAAGTCATGATCAAGCTACAGGAAGGAGGGGGAAGAGACATTCTAACTCAGTCCGCAAGTTAAATTTTAATAAAAACAACCAAGTCTGAAGAAAAAAAAGTTAGCAACTATTAATATATTAGTGTTGTAGCTAACTGACTTTTCTAGTTACTTTGAGTTCTGCTCAGAGTGAACATCGGTTTTTGATGTTGATGGATGAAAAAAAATTGTGAATATTTGGCCCTTAAAAGTTCAATGTTTCACTGAAATCTACCCGATTACTTTATAGACATACACAGGTGCCAAGGATCCGAGTGCAAATGATTATGACTAGTAATAATCAGATACATACAGATTAGAGATGCATGCGCCAACATCTCAGTGTTATTAGCAAGAACAATGAGTCTTTCTGTAAGAAACAGTATATTTTAAAATGAAATGGAGATCTTTTTTAAAGGTTAAAAACTCACTCAATTTTAAGTCTTATAATTGTATAATTGTATTAATTCAACAGTGAACTTAAAAATTTTATAGCCACTTTTGAAAGAGATGTATCTTTGCTCTGGAAACTGTTATTGAGTATGTTAAAGCTGTAATGAAATGCTTCTTCTAAAAAAAAAGTATTTCGGAGCTTGTATCTAATCCTTTAGAAAACGCTGAACAATATACCAGGGTAGCCAATATACCAGGGTCACTATCTACTAGTTACCTAAGATTCATGTCTGGTTTTTAAATAAAATTATTAAAATTATTGGCATAAGGCAATTATTGCTATCTTTAAACATACATAAATGGCTATGCTAACAATTCTTCTACAGAAGCATTTTTTCAACAAACTATCAAAATCAGAAGCATGTTCTCAGGACACTTAACTATGAATCAGTAACTGTACTCTAAGATATACCAATAATATTTTTATTTCATTTTTAATATTTTTTAATTTTTAAAAATTTTATGTGTATGAGTGTACTGCCTGCATGTAAGTGCACCTGTGTTATGCAATGCCTACAGAGGTCAGAAGAGGGTGTTGGATCCCCTGAAACTGGAGTTATTGATGGTTGTTAGTCACCATGTGGCTGTTGGGAACTGAACCTTGGTCCTTTGCAAGAGTAGTCAGTGCTCTCAGTCCTTGAGCCATCTCTCCAGCCCAACCAATAATACCTTTAAACTAAAAGCCACAACTTACACATCCAAATGAGCACCTTTTCCAAAAGGCATTATCTTAAGAAGGTTAACGCTTACCTTAATATGTAGGTGTTATTCAAAACTTTATGAGAGCCGGGAGTGGTGGCACATGCCTTTAGTCCCAGCACTCAGGAGGCAGAGACAGGTAGATCTCTGTGAGTACAAGGCCAGCCTGGTCTACAGGAAGACCTTGTCTCAAAAGGATCAAAAAACCAAAACCCACCAACAAAACAACATTATGAGACCTTCCTTTGCAGCTTCCTAAAGAGTTAACTAGCATAATTAACTAAAAACCCATAACAGTAGTACAGCTTTATCAACTAAGAGTTTTAAGCTAGTTCGGATTATGGTGTGTGACATCCAGCCAGGTAATACTGTTTAGGACAACCAAAAGCTCAACAAATACAAAGCAAGCAATAAAAAATTTATTTTAGGTAGAAGACAATTCATCAGAGCAGTTCCAAAACTGTTTTGCATTGATGGCTTATGGAAGAGTTTTATTATATAAAATACTCATTTATTTTCAAGTTCTAGAGTATCTACCCTTCAATTCCTACCTACATTCCAGCCATAACTTCTATAACACTGATCTGGATTAATCTATCATGAAAATCACACATTATTAACATGTGAGAATTTCTCTAAACTAGTATCTGTACTTTTTTTGTTTTTTGTCTTTTTGAGACAAGGTCTCCCTGTAGCCCCAGCTAGCCTGGAACTCACTATGTAGACCAGGCTGGCCTTGAGCTCACAGAGATCCACCTGGTTCTGCCTCCTGAGTGCTGGGACTAGGCATGTGCCACCATGCCTGGCAATATCTGTACTTTTAAAAAATTTATCATTTTATTTTCATGTGTATGAGTGTATTGCCTTCATGTGTGTAAGTGCACATGTGTTGTTAAATGACCGTGGAGGACAGAAGAGGTCATTATATCCCCTGAAACTGGAGTTATGGATGATTGTTAGCCACCATGTGGGTGCTAGGAACCAAACCTAGTTCCCCTAGTCAGTGCTCTTAACCACTGAGCCATCTGTCCAGTCCTAATATCTGTACTTTTGTAGTAAGACACTTTTGAATAACCCAACACCAAAATTAAAGGTAACAAATCAAATTATTACTCGTTTGTCATTTGGAGATCATTAAAAAGTATTCCAGCTTTACTGTGATGGAACTGAAGTGGCAAAAATTCTCAAATGCAGGGATAATTTGCTACACACGAGAAGTTATTTTGCTTTTTAAAAATATTTTATTGTTTTTATTTTACATGTATTACTGTTATGCCTGCATGTAGGTAGGTTCACAAACTGTGTCGTGCAATGCCCACAGAGGACAGAAGAGGCCTGAGTATCCCCTGGAACTGGAGTTATGGAAAGTTGTTAGTTGCTGTGTGAGTGCTGGGATTCGAATCCAGGTCTTCTGCAAGAACAGTTAGTGGTTCTTGACCGCTGAGCCATCTCTCCAGCCCCTATTCTTAGAAGTTTTTAAAACACTGTTTCCTCAGGCTCACATCTACAAAAGCATTCTCTTTGCTTTGCTGGAGAGGTAAACTCAGTTGTTAGGAGGCCAATGTTGGGACTTGCTCATGTAGCTTGGTACTGGCGAGATGCTGCATCAGCAGGAAAAAATGTCCAGAGGGAAATGGATAAGGCAATGTGCCCATCACTTCTACTATGGAAAGAACATGACCAAAGAAAGGGTAGACACATAACTTTATTCTTAATCTGTTTTTGTTTCTTTAAGATAGGGTCTTTTATTATGTAGCACAGGTTGACCTCAAATTCACTATCCTCCTGCCTCAGCTTCCAGAGCGCCAGAATTGAAGTATGTGCCATCACACCTGGCTTCCAGCACATAACTTTAAAATAGAAGGCAGTACAAGCTACTAACACAAATATCACTGACAGTCACGTTAAGCCCTTTCTAAGATGGAAAAAAGACATGCCCTCAATAATGTATTTTCAGGGGCTAGATAGATGGCTCAGTGGTTAAGCACACTTGCTGCTCTTGCAGAGGACCTGATTTCAATTCCCAGTACCCATGTAGAGTGGCTCACCACCACTCATAACTCCAGCTCCTGGGAATCTGAATCCTTCTTCTGGCCTTCATGGGCACTTACACACATGCTCATACATATACACACATACACAGAAATAAAAAAATAAAATAATGTATTTTCAATATTAAATGACAAATCAGCCACTGCATGCTGGATGAACAGCTTTAGGACTCAGCCTATGGGAGGTCAAGAGAACAGTCTTTGGGACCACAGTCACATTCATGAACTAGTAGTCTTCACTATACTTAAAAGTTAATACCCTATCTACCATAACCTCCTTAAATAAGCTTAAGCTAACAGAATCTCTTAAGAGAAATGGACATGATAAACAGGCTGAGAGGCAACAAGTCAAAAGGATACTCCCTTTTAAAGAACTTTATTTAAAAATAAACAGGATTTAGTCCTTCCTGGCCCCAAATTAGAGGTTAGAGAGGAAAGGGGGGGGGTGCGTGATGGAGAGAATGAGGCCAGTCAGTCACATGCAACAAAATATCACCCTTGATCTAAAGAATGAGAAAATCACAACAGACGATTCTGTAACCTTGAACAGAATTAGATGTTGATAAAATGTCAATACCCAATTTAGGTACCCAACTATTTTGAAGGTTTAGTTGGGAAAGTCAAGGATACAATTGCCTTTCTTCTGCTTATGTGCTTAGTAGAAAACTGTGTTGATAAAGAACATCAAATAAACTATATTAAAAACTTCACAGACAGTTTCACATTGTTAATAAAGATAAAAGATTCCTTTATTTACAAGGGCTCTGAGATGGAATTATCAATTGTTTCAAAGTTGTAAGCAATAAAATCACAAAACTTTAGAAATCTCTGTGGAACTAGGAGGGAAAAGAGAAGAACATACCCTTTTGATGTCAGTGATGGCGCTCACGGAGCTGGGGTACTTGAAGTAGTCAGCAAGCATTGCAATGAGGTGATCAGTTATGCTAGCGATTCTCTGCAGCTCAACATCTGGCTCAATCAGATAGGCGAGGGTCTCAGCTCCCTCCACTCTCTCCTCTAGTAATCTTTCCTTACTGCACATTCGAACCAAACAAGGCAATGTCTGAAATCAGGGAGATTCATTATTTGCTTTTTGGTAATGGCAAAAGCTTGATGAAGAGCATTTAGTAACTAACTCAATTTACTGGTTAATTGCTAGTGGTCATGTTTGTATGAAGCATTCCTTTATTAGTTTTAGAGAATTAGCTTTGAAACTTTATTAGAGAACCTTATAAAAGACAATTAAGAATCCCTAACATTTATGAATCATATAGACAACTCTGCCCCACCTAGTTATCTACCCTAACAGAGAGCCAGTGGCTTCTGATGTTGTGTTGGGTTGACAGCACTTTTTTTTTTCATCTTTTTGAGACAGGGTCTCCTTGTAGTCCCAGCTGACCTGCACTGTGTGACCAAGCTGGCCTTGAACTCACAAGGATCTAATCCATCTGCTTCTGCCTCCCGAGTGCTGGGATTAAAGGCGTGCGCTACCACATCGGGCATGACAGCACTTATTTTTTGTTTTAGGGCTTAATATCTACAGTTGAAAACACAAAATTTGGCTTTAAAAATTCACTGGGCACGGTGGTCCACATTTTTAACCCCAGCATTTAGGAGGCAGAGGCAGGCAGATCTTTGTGAGTTCCAGTCCAGTCTGGTCTACATAGCTAGTTCTAGAATAGCTAGGGCTGTGTCTCAAAAGAAAAAAAACAAAAATTCTGTAATCTTACCCTTCTCAGATTCCAACACTTCTAAAATGGTTAGTGAACTACACCACTCAGAGCTGTTAAGTTTGCCCAAGAATTCACTGGAATGACTGTGGTAGCCACTATTTCAGTTTTACTGCAGTCTTTCGAACACTTTGGCACTGGTCTTGGTGATTTTCACTACAATGGGCTCTCAAAAAAACTATTGCATTTATACATTATTTCTAAGGCTGATGAATCCAAATGGGGGTATGCAGAAGTAGATATGAACGTGTTACAATTATAGAAAGCCTTTCTTCACTACTGCAGTCAACTATGCTTTGCTGTTTCCTAAGTTCCTATTATATTTTTGCCACAGAAGTTAGTACTTTGTTGCCTATTATTGAGTCTTTAAAATTAGAGTTTATTATTATTTACAAAAAAACCTCCAAACTACAGCATACAGAAATATTCAAAGAATGAAAAAACAATTTAAAATTCAGATTTCCCTGTAAGCTAACAGCATCTCATGGAATCACATGTAGACACTGTCCATATAAGGACAATTTAAAAATGTGTTGTTTCTTGAGATAGGATCCAAAAGACTCACACAAAGTACTACTGATTCCTTATGAGACTAGTTCAGGCTTCTGAGAGAAAGATCCTATTTTTCCCCTTACATTACTATTAGTAATATTTATCAGTACTATAAATTCACAGGTTATCCAGTTTACTGTTCCTAACTGAAGCAACTGAAGATAGCACTATTAAACTTATGTTATTGAAAGAATGAAATAAGGGTTAGAGAAATAAACCGGCACTTCCATGAAAGCCCTTAGCAGTCTATACAGAGTTGTTTACTTAGAAAGTCTTTAAATCTTATAAAATTGATTTTCTTACCAAAGAAGGAAGCAACCGAGTCAGTTATTTGTTTGTTCATAATTAATTTGGGTTTTTTAGTATTTGTTTTGTTTAGACAGGGTCTCACTCTGTAGCCCAGGCTGGCCTCAAACTTTTATTCCTCCTGCCTCAGGGTCCCAAGTGCTGGAATTATAGGAATGGGCCTATTATCTGGCTAAAACTTAAATCTTAATGCTCTTTTACCCTTGGCTTCACCTTTTGAACAATAGTAATATATTTGTTTTGTTCTTTAAAGCAAAGGAAACATCTGATGTATTTAATATCTAGCTATCCTCACAAAAGTTCTGTGAGAAAGTTGAGTAGGAACTACTGCCTCTGTTTTCAAAACCAGGAGTCTGAGGTAGCAAAAAAAATAAGGTATACTAAGAAAGTCAATAGTTGGGGTGCTCAAACCAATATCCAGGTCTTTGGATTGCCAGGAATAGTCTTTTGTCCAGGCATGTCTAAGTTTAGGTTGGAACTACTATACTCCAATGATGATGCTGTTTACATACTCTCTATTATGCCTTTTGATTTCTGGCTGTGAGACTGACTTTATCTGTAGAATTGGCAAATCACCTACCTATAAAGCTATACTGCAAATTTAATAAAAACCAGGCATTTCTACTTCACCTGATTTTTACACACTTTTTATTTTCATTTTATGTGTGTAAGTGTTATGCTTGAACCACTGGGCATGGTGGCACACACCTTTAGTCCCAGCAGCACTCGGGAGGCAGAAGCAGGTGGATCTCTGTGAGTTCAAGGCCAGCCTAGTCTACATAATGAGTTCTAGGTCAGCTGGGGCTACAGGGAGACCCTGTCTCAAAAAGACCAAAAAAAAGGTGTGCTTGCATGTATACCCATGCCATGCAATGCCTGCAGAGGAGAGAAGAGGGCATCAGATCCCCAGGAACTGAAGTTACAGACAGTAGTTAGCCATCATGTGGGTGCTGGGAATCAAACCCATGTCCTCTACAAGAGCAGTCAGGGCTCTTAACTGCTGAGCCATCTCTCCAGCCCTGTATCCCCTTATAAAATGAAAAAAATGCAACAACAAAAGTATTCCATGTGATATTCAAATGTATATAAATCTAGTTTTTTAAAACTATGTGGGATGCCACTGAAAAGCACAGTATTTTAATGTCATTTTTATGTCATGTACACAAACCCTAATGATTAATATGGAAAAAGAAACAATAGCAATATTCATATTCAACATTTATGTTCAAGTGAATAATTTTCATGTTTTTAGAGAACTAACTAGCTTACCTTTAATATAATACAGTTATCATCTGTCCGAATTGCTCCAGCCCTGCACATGTAAGTCAAACTGGAATAAAATGACAGAAGTTTTTGCTTGAGGTTTAAAGTGTTTAAAGAAAAATTATTTGCCTTTAAGAGTTTTTGGGAAAACAAAATCAAACCAGGTACTACCATTTAAGGGAGAATATTTTGACCTATCTTCATCTGAAATTAAGTTAGTTCAGAAATCAAAGAAAACTAACACATATAAACAGTATGGTAAATATTTTTTAAAATACCTACAAATAAATGTCCTAATGAGTGTACACAATTTTGAAGCTATGTGGTATGCACACGTAGGTTCTTTGTGGTTTTTCTCTATACTTTTTTTGCTTGAAATGTTCCCCAACAAAAAGGAAAGAAATGTCAAAAATAAAGGGATAAAATATCCTTGCTTAAGGGATGTTAGGGATAGTCCAACTCCAACAGCAATAAAAAATATTACAGAAAGGGCCATCAAGTTTTAATACAGCCTTCCACCAGAAATTAATGATTTGCTGGTTACCAACAGTGGCTCTGGGAATTGAGTAAATGATTCAATTCTACTGAAAAACAATTTACCTTCATCATTATATCTAGCTTTGAATGAAAAAGTAGTAAAAGAGAAAATTAAAAACAACAACAGTGATAAAGCTCAGCAAGTTAAGGGGCACGCTGTCAAGCCTGACAATCTGAATTCAATCCCTGGGACCCTCCTGGAAGGACAGGACCAACTCCTTCAAGCTGTTTTCCCCATGCACGCATGCACACACACTCAAAATAAATAAAATGCAATTTTAAATTTTGAAAGAAAATGAGTTTTATCTCCTAAGTAGGCTCTGAATATTAAGTACTTCAGAAACTTAATGAATTTCTTTTTTGAACTGGATTCCTTTAGTAAACTGGGGGTGGGAGTGAAACCTGTAACACCTATGCTTAGCTTTTACAAAACACTATGAACAAACCAGCAAATTCTTTTACTTCAATCCTAGAGGCTAAAGTCTGTGTAGTACTGTATCATTGTAAGGCTTACTGCATTTTGTGTTTTTAAAACTATTTTTGAGACATTAACTTACTAAGAAAGAGGCAAATGCCCAGCGTGAATTTAAGACAAAAAGGAAGCAAAGAAAACTATAACACGATTCATGCATGACTAAATCACTGAAAATTCTAAGTTTTCTACTGAAGAATAACAGATTCCTAAAAACTAAAATTAAACAATTTGCTTAGTGTAAAACTCAACAGGGCACATGTTCAACATAGCAATGTACTGATCATTCAATAGCAACATTCCCTATGTCTCTGTATCTTCCTGGCTTAATGTTCAGCATGTGTGGTGGTTTGAATGAAATGTCCCCAATAGGCTCCAAGTGTTTGGACATTTTGTCCCCAGATGATGGTACTGTTTTGGGAGGTTTTAGACAGTGTGGCTATCCTGCAGGAAGCACATCACTGGGGGTGGGCTTAGAGAGCTCTTAAGCCTTGCCAGATCTCCAGTCACTCTTTTGCTTCCTGTGCCTGTGTGATGATGTGAGAGCTTCACTTCTGCTGCTCCTGCTCCAGCCACCTCCAGACACCATGCCTCCCTGCCATGACGGACTGTAATTCCCCTGGAATCGTACGCTCAAATAAACTCTTCCTTCTATAAATTGCTTGGGTTGGTGTTTCTATCATAGCAACAGGAAAGTGACTAATACAGCACGTATTCCTCATATCTAATCTACCTCTTTATTACTTTGACTTAAATACAAGGAGAGTTAAGCTGGGGATTTAACAATTCTATTATATCTTTAGATGATGGTTCCTGTTCTACATACCACCTGGAATAAACGTGAGTATAAAAAACATACCCATTTCAGAAAACAAAAGACAATCCAAAGACTTTCAAGTTTTAAAATCCCAACATTGCTGGGCATGGTGGCGCATGCCTTTACGCCCAAGTCCCTAACTCCCTGGAAGCAGAGGCAGGCAGATCTCAGGGAGCTCAAGGTCAGCCTGATCACATAGTTGAGTTCTAGAAGGGCTGGGACTAGGGAGACCCTGTCAAAACAAAACAAAACAAAAACTCCTAGCACCCTAGCATTCTGGGCCTAGAGTGGGTAGTCTTGTTACCACACTCAGACTCTTGACAGTAACAAAGCAGAACCACTCCTCCTGCTTTGATTCTTACCATTTGGCTGATGTGAGCTGCATCTCAATAGGCTTATCCCTCTGTAACATCTTCACAAATATCTGTGGTAACAATTCTCCATCAACCAAAACTAGAAATAAAACAAAACACAGAGAGTAAGAAAGTTCTTTAAATATGTGAAACTCATAAATTATATTATGTAGGTACCACCGAAAGTTCCAGCCTACCATTTACCAGGGTCATCGATACCTGGGGGTTTTCAAAAGCTAAAACTGAGAAGCATTTCAGTGCTTGCATTCGAACCTGCAAAAATAAATAAAGAAAATTAAATTAATTCTCGAAATATGATTTTAATGTCTCAGAATTTCCTCTTCTGAAAAAAGTTATTTAATTCTACTTAAACCGAGTATAGGAGGTTTAACTCACACACAGCACTTGCTTAAGGCCCTTGGTTCATGCATTAGTACTATGGGGAAAAACAAAGCTAGATCTCAAGGGAATAAATGACAATACCATCTACATATCTGAAGACTACAGCAGAAGTCAATCTTGACTAGAAAAGAAACTACGGAAGCAGCAGCTCAAATTAACAGAAAAATACCTAATCAAATCTCAAAGAACATTACATAAACCACAGTTTTTATAGGATAAAGAGAGCTTTTAACAATTATTAAGCATCTTTCAAATGAGATTTTCCTTATAGAGGATTGAAGCAATTTTTTTTGTTACTGTTATTTTTGTCTTTTTGAGACAGGGTCTTCCTGTAGCCCCAGCTGGCCTAGATCTCACAGAGATCTCCCTGCCTCAGTCTCACAAGCGCTGGGATTAAAGGCATGTGCCATAACGCCCAACTTGAAGGAGAGCTTTAAAAAAAAAAAAAAAAAAATCTTATAAAAATGCACAAAATGGAGTTTAGGGCTTAAAACAAAAAGAGAAGAAACATTACAAAAAATACTGGAGAAGGATTGAGCTAATTCAATTTTCAAAACACCTATGAACAGAGCTACCATTCCTCCAAACTAGGTCACTAGGTAAGAATGAGGGCCCAAGATTTGACCATATTCAATGCTCCACAGTTTGCAGGGGTCCACACACCACAGCATTCACCAGATGATGTCATTCATCCTTACCACTGAGACTGAGTCTACACGGCCACCTTAGGAGGTTGGCAGCCCACAAGGACAAATACTGAAGAACCCTGCCCCTTACATGGGACTGCTTACAGCACTACAAGGTGTCAGTGACACTCTGACAACTTTCTCCGCCACATATTATGTTTTAAAATTTGTTGTGGTCAATAAATCCAGTGTAGGAAAAAAAGGGAAATGGAAGAATGGGAGGAATTAGTGAATATACTACAGAAGGCTGGGCAGTAATAAGATAACTGCCTGGAGTGTCTACAGCTGTTTCTTTTTAAATTTTTTAAACTGTTTTGTTTTTATTTTATATGTATGAGTGTATTGCCTGCATGTATGTAAATGCACCTGTGTCATCCAGTACCCAAAGAGGCCAGAAGAGGGTGACATATCTCCTGGAACTGTATCTACGGACAGTTGCTAGCCACCATGTGGGTGATGGGAACTGAACCTGGGTCCTCTGGAAGAATAGCAACTGCTCTTAATCACTGAGCCATCTCTCTAGCCCATTTCTTCTTTTTTAAAATAATATTTTAATTTATTCTTTGAAAATTTCTTACATGTATACAAAATATTTTTATCTCACCCACCTCCCACTACCTCCTATTGGCAGCTGGAAACTGTTAAAGGAGAGAGAGTCACTTTTGCCTATGCTCCAATGCACACCCATTTGTACTCAGCCAGCACTAACTGGTCTCAGGGGTTAATAATAATAATAATAATAATAATAATGGCATAAGGTTGGGAGGGAGACAGGTTGATATGTCCCAAGGTGGGGAAGAATTGGAAGGAGGTACAACTATTTCTTGATGTGCAAGTGCTGATGGTCACTGCATGGCATGAGGTAAGGAAATGGCTTCAGTATATAGTTCCTTCCCCTGCCTCTGGCTAGTTTTGAGCTGATTCTGTATGCATTCCTATCCTGTAAGTGGTTCACCATGACTAGTAACCACACTGCAAGTAGAGAGAGGACAAAACCTGCAGCTTCTCTGTTCTGACATACCCAGTCTTTTTTCTTTTCTTTTTAAAAATTTATTACTATTTTATGAGTCTGAGTGTATTGCCTGCATGTAAGTGCATCCATGTCATGCAATGCCATGGAGGTCAGAAGAGGGTGTCGGATCCCCTGGATGTGGAGTTTCGGGCAGTTTTAACAGTCATGTGGGTGCTAGGAACCAAACCCAGGTCCTCTACAAGAGAAGCCACTTGTGTGGTTTAACCACTGAGTCTAACACACACAATCTTCTACCACTTTCTAAAGCTTGCTAAGTTAAACAACTATTAATGACCAAAGTTTTAACTCAAATCTGACAATGGATTAACTGATAATGGATCATAAAATTGTTTACCTATACATAAAAGATAATAAAAAGGATATTTTTAAAAAACAAAACAGAACACATTCTAAATGTTGATATGTATGTAAATATGTGGGCATATGTTGTAAGAAGTTAAATAAAATTCTAAATATAAAATCCAAAGTTTTCCCTGATCCAGCTATTGCACCATATACTTAAGGCATCACCTCAAGCACTAGGTTCAGCATTCAAACTAACCAAATAGACCTGAAATACTAACAGATGAAAAGTCACTACTCATGGCATAAAAATGTCCTGGAAACAAAAGGAGAGGAAGTCTAATATTTTTTTCAACGCAAGAACATTCTGTATGTATAACATTCTGTATAATGGGCATGACACTCTGCTGATGAAAGCTTACTCCTGATCACGATACCTATAGAAGAAGCAAGAAACATGTGGGCCTCTTCCTATAAACTAAAATGAAGATAAAAATCTGGACATAACTTTTTACATCTTACTTTGTAAGAAGGCGAGGTTAATAGGTGAGCAATGTTCTGAACTGCACCATGGTTAAATAAAATTGTTTGATGATCTGGTCCCTGTAAGAAAAGAGAAGGCAGTAACACATTAACAAAAGTAACAATTCTGACAGAACCACAATTACTTAAAAGCAGAAAACTACACATAATATAGCAGGGAGATCTCAGTTACCCTTTGTTTCCACAAATTAAACCCCCAAACACTGGCAAAGTCCTGCAAAGGCTACTGTAACGTACCCCATGCTGGGTCTAGAGCTGCTGCTTCTTTACCTCCCAAAATAAAGGAGAATGAGAAGCTATCATGTACAGGTGGATGCAAGAGGGTAACGGGGAGTGAGAATGTCCAAAATTTAGTATATATACATATGAAATTGTCCAAGAAAGTGCTTTTTTTGTTTGAGACCGGATCTCCCTAAAGCCCCAGGTGGCCTGGAACTCACTATGTAGAACCAGGCTGGCCTTGAAGTTTCAGAGATCTGCCTGCCTCCACCTCCTAAATGCTAGTAAAGGCATGCACCACCATGCCCTGCTTAAAAATTTTTTCAAAACCTCATTTCCAAGGCTGGAGAGATGGCTCAGAGGTTAAAAGCACTTACTGCTCTTGCAGAGGACCCAGGTTTGGTTCCCAGCACCCACATAGAGGTATCCAACACCCTCTTCTGACTTCTGCCGGCACTGCATGAAATGGTGCACTTACATAGATGCAAGCAATACACTCATACACATAAAAAGTGCTATTTTTTTAAAAAAACCTCAATTCTTAACCCAGTGTGGTGGTCCTTTAGTCCCAGCACTCAGAATGCAGGCAGATCTCTGTAAGTTCAAGGCCAGTCTAATCTACATAGTAAGTTCTAGGACAGCTGGGACTACAGGGAGACCTTGTCTCAAAAAAAGACCAAACAAAACAAAACAAACAAACAAAAACAAACCGATAACCTCAATTCCTCTTACTTTCTTATTTTAGTCACTATAGAGTATACAACAGTTTACTTACGCAAACCCCTGCTGTGTATTTTATGTGGTTCTTTGTGCCTCACTAGTTTTCTGCTGCATTGCTACTAAAGCCACATGTCTGTGGAGAGCTTAGGTTGCAAAGGGTGAAGGCCGCTCTTGGGGCACAGGCCCTAGAGCATGTCCTTTCCTGCCACCTCGTTTTCACACCTGCAGTATAGTTAGTCCAACCATTACTGAGAGCTTGCTACATGACAGGCACTACTCTAAATGCTTTCACTGCACTGTCTTGTCTTAAATAGCTTGTTCTTTTAAGCAGAAGATGGGGAGCACAGGAGAGGCGAGTAAAAGGGTGTCTCCTAAGAATCTGCTGCAATCTCAGAAAACTAAAAAAAAAGCTTCTGTGCAACAAAGGAAAGTGAAGCAAGTGATCAGGCATCCACAGAGTGAGAAGAAATCTTTAATTCATTCGACACAAGATGGGGGTCCAGAATATACAAGGAACTAAATAAATTAAACATTAAGAAAATTAACACCCCAATTAAAAACTGGGCTATGGAACTGAACAGAAAATTCTGAAAAGAGAAAATACAAATGGCTCGGAAACATTTCTTTTTCTTTTTTTTTTTTTGGTCTTTTTGAGACAGGGTCGCCTTGCAGCCCCAGCTATCTTGGAACTCTCTATGTACACCAGGCAGGCCTTGAACTCGCAGAGACTGGCCTGCCTCTGCCTCCCAAGTGCTGGGACAGCAGGTGTGTGCCACCACACCCGGCTGGGAAACATTTTTTTAAGTGCTCAAAATCTGTAGCCATCAGGAAATGTACTTTAAGATTCCATCTCATCACAGTCAAAAGGGCCATCATCAGTAATACAAATGACAATGACTGCTGCCCTGGACATGGTGAAAGAGACAGAAGACCTCTTATACACTGTTGGTGGGCATGTAAACCAGGGTAATTACTTTGGAAATCAGTCTGAAGGTTCCTCAAAAAACTAAAAATTGGCCAGGCACAGTGGTGCACACCTTTAATCCCAGCACTTGGGAGGCAGAGGCAGGTAGATCTCTGTTGAGTTTAAGGCCAGCCTGGTCTACATAGTGAACCCAGGACAGCTGGGGCTACAGGGAAACCCTGTCTCAAAAAGACAAAAAAACAAAACAAAACAAAAAACTAGAAATTGAACTGCCACCTGACTCAGCTATTCCATCTAGCATAAACCCAAAGGACTACAGAGAAGCTGGCACATGGGGAAAGGAGTCAGCCTACAAATCCATCAACAGATGAATGGGCAACACAAAGTGGAGTATTACTCAGCAGTGAAGAAAAATGAGATCATGAAATTTGCAAGTAAATGGATGGAACTAGAAAAACATTACATTGAATGAAGCAACTCAGGCCCAGAAAGATAAATGCTGCATGTTCTCTATCATATCAAATCTTTTGTGTATTTAACATGGAGCACGAGTTTCAAGGAAACTTGAGGCGTGGTGCCGCACACCTTTAACCCTAGCACTTGGGAGGCAGAGATAGGAGAAAGTTTTAGAGAGAGAGATTACCCTGGTCTACATAGTGAGTTACAGTCCAACTGAGGCTACAGGGAGACTGTTTCAAAAAACCAAACCAAAACAACAACAACAAAAAAGTAGGGAAATGGAATGCTGGGGACGGACTTAAGCAATAGGTCACAAGAGTATGGAAAATCAGGAGAAGGGGAAGAATTAACCAAAGAAAAGGTATATGAAAAGCCATACAGAAGCCCATCATCCCAGAACCCAAATTAAAAGTGGATTAGAGGGATAACAGAATACATGGCTATGAAGGAAGGGAGAATACTGGGAGTTTAAGGAGTAAGTGTGGATGGGGGTGAAGAATAAGGGAAAGGGGGGGTGAGAGGTTAGCCAACCAAAACCAATGATGGATGTAAAAGCATTACGGAAACCCACTAGTTAGTAAGTTAATTTTGAAATGTAACTTGAAAGGGGGGTTGGGGAATTACTCTTGGTGACTGAACAATGTTGTGCCCAGAACACAGACTATTAAAATCATCACAGTGCCAAGGCATGAAGTACCTCCCTACAATGTATTTGTCAGAGAGGCCCCAGCTGTCTCCAAAACAATACATCCACTGTCCTTAGTTACCCAATAAAACTACATAGTAAGATACCACTGCTAAAGATATCACACACTGCGGGGCATGGTGGTGCACGTCTTTAATCCCAGCACTTGGGAGGCAGAGGCAGGTGGATCCTCTGTGAGGCTGGCCTGGTCTACAGAGTGAGTTCCAGGCAGCTGGAGCTACAGGGAAACCCTGTCTCAGAAAAAGCCTTTTAGAGTGCATTTTCTCCTTAATAGACAATTCACTTTGGCACTTTGGCTTCAGGACACAAAGCAATCAATCTCCAACTGACCAGGATCCTGCTGTCTGGCTTATACAGTGCCAGAAGGTGCTATGCAGGGTGCAGGTGGGAAGTCTTCCCTGGCTCTGGACCCTACATGTACCAACTTGCCAGGCAAGATCGAGACACTGCTGCAATAGTGGTATGACTGTTACAGAGTAACTGCTTTCTGATTCGATTTGAGGCCTCCTTCACAGGAGGGAATTTCGTACCTGGTATTACAATACTGATTAAAAGCCCATGGCTGAGAGCTGGGTGTGGTAGCACACACCTTTAATACCAGCACTTGGGAGGCAGAGGCAGGTGGATCTTTGTGAATTCAAGGCCAGCCTGGTCTACATAGTGAGTTCCAGGACAGCTGGGGCTACAGGGAGACCCTGTCTCAAAAAGACCAAGGAAAAAAAAAAAAGAAGCCCATGGCTGGAGAGGTCACGGACTCTAGGGAAGAACCTGCTGTTATTTTGTTAACCGGTCATGTTGTCAAATTGCTCTCTAAATATTTATGTTTATACTCATAGATCTGGGCTGCTCTCAACTTTGGTCAGAGAAGCTTGTTTTTGCCGTGAGCAGCAGTCAGTGGAAAGATGCATAATTGGTCAAAGTGCTGAGAAGTGGGATATCTCTTTTAACTCCCATCACCACTACTGTCAAGTCTCAGGGAATAGTGTAGAAGAGAAAGCAGAAAGAATGTGAGCTGAGGATGGGGAGGAGGCTGTGAAATGCTGACTTCTGGACATGGCATGGCTGTTTCACTCATGAGCTCACTGCAGCTGTGGTTATCTGCACAAGACCTGAATCAGATAAAGCCAGCAAAATTCTAGTATAGATGAAAAGGTGCTCTCCAGGCCCCACCATTACTGAGGAACAACTGGCAAGTTCTAACTGTTGGGGGAAGGAGAATCATTCTTTTTGAGGGTACAGCCTCTAATAGGTTCTTCATGCTCTAGTGAATGGCTCATATCCATGCACATATTGGCAGCACTAATCAGACTTAGTGCATTATAAAAAAATTTTTTAAAAAAATTGGTATGTAGCAGCAATCAGTTGCCAACATTCCTTCAGCTAAGACTGATATTTGCTGTTCATTTTCCCAGTTCTATGCTGGGTTTTTGTCTGCCTGAGTTTGCATGGGACTTGTGTATGCTGACACCACTGCCATAGAATCATATGAGCAGGGTCCCAGGAGCTTGTAGGACTCTGTTTCTATATGGTCCTGTGCCTCCTCCCTGGCTCTTACAATCTTCCGGCCCCCTTTTCCATGATGGTCCCTGAGCCTTGTGTGGGTGAAGTTTAATAAAGGGGTCCTGCCCAATGACCATCATTCAGCAGACTCTTGATCTCTACACTTTGACCATTTGTGACCTTTTGTGTTCCTGGCTCTCTGCTGCATGAGGAAGTTTCATTCTTGAGAACTGAGTAATTCCTTAGTGTTCTCTTCTAATCTTCCTACAACAAGAGACTCTAGACAGGATGACTAGACTCAGTGGACGGACTTGCACTGGGGGACGACTGGGGACACTGACAACCCACTGGGCCTTAACAGGGATGACAAAGTATATGGGCTGGGGAGGAGGGTATGGGACAGTGCCACTGGGGACAGGAGTATAAAGATGATTAAGACTGTTTGAGATGTTCTGTATGAAATACACAAAAAATTCAATAAAAAAATATATATTAAAAAAATATATAGGAAAACTTCGACCAGATTGCATCTACGCTGCAATTTAGCCCTCCCTCCCCAAATGAAAAATCTTAAGCTTCCTCCTAGTTTAACTGGGATGCTAAAGTAGTGTCAAAAATAAAAAGATTGTTTTTTAAAGTAAAAAACTATCAATTTATAAAAAAAAAATTGATATGAAATCTGGGAGGGGGACTTGATGGGAGAAAATATTGGGGGAGTTAAAGGGGGGAAACAGCAGGAGGCTATAATCACATTTCTTTGTATATATGGATAAAATTCCAAAAAATAAAGAAAAATTAAAAATCTGTCCCATTTTATCTTACCTATGAGCTAGAAGGAATTGTGACGGTAAGCCAAAACTAACCTCAGCTTATATACCAGTATTATATAAAAAGTTTTCTTGTTGTTCTTGTCATAAATTTTGACATCTCAATTTGAATGCGTGGCAGAGCTTCTCAGAATGACTGAGTAGGCAGGGTGCTGCCTTGGACACTTGTACCCCATGCTCCTCCCACTCTGCATCCAAGCTCTTTTTGTGTTTTGAGGTGGACTAATTATTTTTATATTCTTTAAGACATTTCATATATTTAAAAAGCTGGGCATTGTGGTGTACACCTGTAACCCCAGCAGTTTGCAGGTTCAAGCAGGAGGATCACTATTCAAAACCAGTCTAAGCTAGACAGCAAGATGATCTTAAAAACAGAACAGAACAAGGCAAACTGCATAGGAGCAAATACATGTGTATGTTTCTCCCCATTCTCACAGAAGTGGTAGAACACTAAGTACTCGACACTTTTAAATTATCTTTACAGTCTACCTTAGCGATCATATCAGTACCTAAAAGCTTTCACATTTGTTCGAGCCCTACTCTATTATATGCATGCCTCATATTTATTTTTTTAACTTTATTAACTTAGACATTTAGATTTTCAGACTCTTACTATTATAAACGTCACTTCAATATATATCTATGGGCATGCATTTTTTTTTCTAAGATCAAAACCATTTCTGAATAGCCTTATTAATAAAAGCTACATTTACAAAGGACAGTGAAAAGATCACACATACTATAATTCTCTCTGTACATAACTGCTTCTTGCTTGTAAGACACATTTTTTTTTTTGGTCTTCTGGAGACAGGGTCTCCCTGTAGGCCCAGCTGTCCTGGAACTCACTATGTAGACCAGGCTGGCCTTGAACTCTCTGAGATCCGCCTGCCTCTGCCTCCCAAGTGCTGGGATTAAAGGTATGAGGCACCACGCCCGGCTACATTTTTAATCTCATAAAGATGACAATACATGTTCTATCAAACAAGGTCTTCCTTTTCTCAAGACTGCACACAGGATTATGTGAAAACAATGGCAAAGAAACAATCAGTGGTTAAGTTAAGTAGAGGAGAGGAGCTAGCCTTTGATTTTCCTCAAGACTCTTTCAACTCTCTGCACAGCAACCTGCAATAGCCTAGTAGTAATTACATAAACGCTTCTGGTCTTACACACCAAAAAATCTACAAAAATCTCAGAAATCTGAGTAACTGCTTAAGTAGTAGAAATTATTTTAAAGTTACAATTCCAATAAATATGATTACTAGTTCTTTTTTGTTCCTTGATAACTCAGGGAGAAAATTTCCGAGATATAGTTATGGCTAGTTTATAATACAATGCTTAGTGATCTTCTATGTTGCTCCTCATAGCACATAAATTGATTTGATGTTGATACCAGTCTATGCAAATTAGTAACTTAGTCTTATTCCTCTTAAATTTAGCTAACTGAGCCCCTATGAAGGAGTCTTAAAATTCTATTATAAAATTTTAATTAATTTGGGGGCTGGGCATGGTGGCACATGCCTTTAATCCCAGCATTCGGGAGGCAGAGGCAGGCAGATCTCTGTGGGTTCAAGGCCAGACTGATCTAGCCAATTCCAGGCCAGCTGGGACTACAGGGAAACCCTGTCTCAAAAAGACCAAAAAATACATAAATAAAATAAAAAATAATTTTAATTAATTTGGGACTCTATGCAAAAAAGGAACATGAAAGCAAAAGGTTTTCATAATTAATGACAATACAGACGATTATGATCAGTTCTTTTCAGGGATGCATGCTACTGCGTAAAGTTAGTATTATATGTTAAGACACTGCTATTGTCACTGGGTTCCTAAGTGCTGTGATACTTCCTGGGGTTTAGTTATAGCTCAGAATACTTAAATTTGGCCATTTAATTACAATCCCAAACTCGATTAGGCAAAAAGAAAGCTTAGTATAGGTGACTTTCTGTACATTTTTAGTTTATAGTGGCACGGTGGCTGACATAAATCTCTCTTTTCTAAAATAGAGATCGAACAGTGCTCCTTTATCTGTGATTTCAGCTAAGATAGCACTGAGAAGCCTCAAGTGAGCAGTCCTACAGGTACTGAGAAACTTCTGATGTATAACCCCACAAGCAACTTGGGTAACTTCAGAACAGGATTATTCAAACATTTCAAATTTAACAGTACAATCTGACCTACTTATCTCTCCAGGTCCAATCTTAGTGCCCTTCTAGGCTTGGTGTAGTCATAATTAGAAGAAGCTATGCTTTCTTCAACATTTGAAATAGATGCTGAAAGATTATTAATGAGGCACAGAGTACTGAAATATCATCCTCTACTTACCTGCCAGGGCTAGCTCGAAGGCATCATTTTGTTATAGAAATATCTAGATTTTGCTGGTTTGAACTCAGTTTTAACAAATCAATTTGAAGAAGGTTTCATTTTCTTAGAGTACTTCTTTGCCCACTATAAAAGATGAAAGCATTGTTTCCTACCCCTGGTTCTGAGTTGGCCTATATACTGTCAAAGCAATCAAGGACAGAAACCTCAAAGATTTTTTATTCCAAATGCACTGAACAGAACTGAATAGGCTGTGATAATCATCCAGAGGCAGGAGGGTTTTAAAATAGATTATAATGTAGATATCTTTCTTGAAGCAAAATGATCTTTAATTTCATTTATTTGGGAAGAAGTTCTAAGCAGCACAGACCTGTGATCTTCCTATGGAGGGGTGTGTTTACTATTTCCTTCCTGTGGTTCCCAAAGCCCCTTTCCTGGCTTCTGTATTACACATGATAGGAAAGTGGATGGTGCTGCACTGAATGAATCATCAGGAGAAAACCATGTTCTCTACTCAATGTTTGAAGCTTGGAGCCTCTCAAAAACATAAGTTGGACACTGAACCCAGGGAGGCCTCTGGAGGCAGTGCACCTGGAGGTGTTGCAACTGTCCTGCTCCCACGCTTATCCTGTGTGGTCTTCACCTTGCAAAATAATGCTGGCAATTTGGTTATGCTAAAGAGAAACCAAAAAGTGCTATGTTTAAGGGAAAAGTTTAAGGCTCTCAACAGGGATACAAGTACATTATATGCTCAAGTTGCTAAAATCTATATAGAGAAAAGTAATGCTCAGAGATGTCAAATAGCACACACATCCCTACGTAATCACACATCAGAACTAGAAAGCAAAACATTGTGTCTGGCTTCAACATATCCGCTCTTCATTGTGAGACAAGACACAAACAAAGCATGTAGGGCATTACGTAATCGAGAACACTGATTCTAGTTCTTACTTTGCAACAGTGTGAGAAGATCTGGCAGATGTACTCCTGGGTGTACCGGGACCGGCTAAGCAGTGCCATGAGGTGTGGTATCACTGTGGCATCCTGGAGTGGACAGGAAGAACAGGCAGCAACAGGGACTTAGGCACTCGGCATACATTTAACACAGCATTTCCACAACCAATTATACAGTAAAGCTTCTTATCGTAACAGTATTGATCAAGTCTCCTTAAGGAATGGAGCAAAATGAAAGCATCACAGCCACTGGAACTGTCTAGGCCAAGGACAGAGGAAGGTGCTTTAAGAACCACCCTTGAAAACAAAACAAGAGAAGGAACTTATTTCTCTCCCACAAGTAGCCAATGCTCTCATTATAAAACAGTATCACTGCAAGAGACTATAAATAAATCAATTCTGAAACCAAAATGTCAGGTAACTAAATAAGAAATACAATACTAAATAGCTTACATGGAAGAACTATTGTACACAAATAAAATTTGACAATTTTGATCTTGAGATATTATGGGAAACATCAGTAACTACTGTAACCTCTTATAGTGACTACAGTTAGCTATGTTCAATGATATAAAACAAGACATTTCTCATGGTCAGTAACTCTCACAGGAAGCCTACTCTCAGGCTGAGAAGATGGCTCAGTGGATAAAGTGTTTGCTGTGCAAGTTGCTGTGCAAGCATGAGGACTAAAGTTTGGCTACCCAGCACCCACATAAAAGACAGGCAGAGGGGCATGGAAACCCCCCAGTAATCCCAGCCTCAAGAAGCAAAGCTAGCTTGCTAGGCTAGCTGAATCCATGGGCTCTGGGTTCCAGTGAGAAACATCAATATAGAGAGAGCAACTGAGGAAGCATTCATTGTGAACTTCTGACCTCACATGTACACAAATTCCAACACATATGCACCCATATGCATGCAAGCATGCACACATATGTGTATGTACACTGTACATACATATACATAAAAGCCATTTTTAAAGCCCATTATCTTACTTATTGCTGACATATCCATGGTGGCATATGAAAAGAGAACCCTGCTACAAGGCTCTCCAAGAACCTCCTTTATATAATGCAAAAAGAATTACAAATTAAAAGGGACTTTTGGCCTGAGCCACACAGATGGAAAAGGAAATTTAGCTCAAGTCTCCTAGTCAAACTGCCCAGTTCTAGAGCTACACTAAAGTACCAATGTGCACACAAATTTCCAGAGGACTTTCCTAATGTACAGGTTCTGACTCTAAGTCTGGGGACAGATCTAAGAGTCCACATCCCAACTAAATTCTAAAAGAGGCTGATCTGCTGGTCCACAGACCACAAAAGACGACAAGGAAGAATAGAATGCCCAAGTTCTAGAAAAGCTAAACACAGAAACAGAAGGCTGGAGTTCCTAAAAGCAGAACCTCTCACCCTTGCATGTTAGTATAACCCTCTGCATTGTCCTAAATAGTTAAAAACAACACAAACAACTTAAAACCTGAAATACCAGGGAAAGGAGGAGATGAGAGTAACAAGCACGAAGAAGAGGAAAGAGCAGAGGTCGGCCGACAGACAGCTGACGGAACAAACAAATCAGGCGGCAGAGTCAAAGCTCTACTGAGCACCTGAGCCAATTTCTTCCACTTTCTTCTGCTAATTCACCAATTTCTTTCAATAGCCCTCATCTTATTTCTTCATATGTGCTCCCTTTCTGTCAAATGAGTTTAGACATCTGTATAGACTAAAGAAATCAAAGAGCTATTACAAAATTACCCATAGTTAAAAACAGGATTTCAAACTAGAATTCCTGCCCTGTTCTCACTTAGGGTTAGGGTTACTTGTAGGGTTAGACTACCATGTCTTTATTTGTGCCTGAGTTGTTTCTTACACGTGGCAGCTGTACAATCCAATTCAGTTAGACACACTGAAACATAGTCCTCTGTTGTCTCCCACAACACCCCATTCCACTGCTGCCCCACCAGCCAACATTTTTGAATTCACTTCTATCTCAAAGGTATAAAATCTAAGGTATAAAAATCCAAATGTTCCATAATCTAGAAAAATATAGTCCCTTCTTTTATATATAATAAACAAACAAACAAACAAAAAAAGCCCCTTGCCGGGCGTGGGCGTGGTGGAGCGTGCCTTTAATCCCAGCACTCGCAGAGGCAGGTAGATCCCTGTGAGTTCAAGGCCAGCCTGGTCTACATAGTGAGTTCCAGGACAGCTGGGGCTACAGGGAGACCCTGTCTCAAAGAGACCAA